GTAATAATAAGATTGGGATAAGAATATGATAATAAGACTGGGACAAGAATATAATTATTAGATTGGGACAAGATCATAATAATAAGAATGGAATTAAATTTTGATAAGATTATAATAATAAGATTAGGATAAAATCATAATAGTAATATTGGGATAAGATTATAATAATAAGATTGGGACAAGATCATAATGATAAGAATGGAATTAAATTTTGATAAGATTATAATAATTAGATTAGGATAAAATCATAATAGTAATATTGGGATAAGATTATAATAATAAGATTGGGATAAGATCATAATTATAACATTGAGATAAGATGGTAATAATTATTAATTAAATCTTGTCGGGATTAGGACAAGATTTGGTTTCCATATTCCATATATTTGTCAAGAATTTACTCTTGTTACACTCCATTTACAAGGATATAGTCACTTTGTAGGCATTACTTATGATCTTATGTGCAGTTATGATGACAGTTTTTGAACCAGTTGTCTGATTATATTTCCTGAAAGTACTACATATCTAAAACTGAGCTCAGATAGTTAAGCAAATATTTAAAGTAGTAATATCTTACTGGTTCTTGATATAAATATATAGAATACGGTTAAGGAATTTTTCACATAGTTTTGGTAAATAAATCTACACCTAGCTATCAATGTCTATAAAATTAGCCAGGACCAGAAATAGTTTCTTAGTTATAGGCTGGTGGTGTTAGACAACTAAATTTCATTAAGTTGTAAAAACAATTATTTCTATTTTTAAAATTTGAAAGTGATGTGATAAAACAGGTGAGAAACATACCAACAAAATTACTTGTACATTTTATACTTGGTTAGATCAACTTAGTGTGTTTAGGGATGGGCAGGCTCACTGCAGTTTTTTTTATTTATTAATTGGTGTTAGTAATGTATGCATCCTGTTGAATCATTCTGTCTTTCTGGTGTACCAGTCAGGTCCAAGAAAATAAAAATACATACCAAAATCACAGATGTCAGAAGGCATCATATTCAAGGCATCAATCTCATTTTCTGCAAAATGTTAAGGTGCTGAGTGCACAAATCATTACAAAGTGAGTTGAGTTATGATTACTTGCATTTTTTATAAATCTAAATATATTGTGTGAAACAACAATGGGAATCCATCTTTAATAAATACCACTGATTGATTAAAGGGAAATAGTGACTACTCCATTAAAATAAAAACAAAGAATGAGATCGCTAGTAACTATTCTAATATTGATGTTGACAGTAATGAAATAGACAGACAGATGGTTCAAACCAAATATAGAACTTTTATAACTTTTTTATCTTTAAAGTGAAGAATCATGTTTGATGGTAATTTATTGAATAGTGACCAGTGTATGATAATAATATAATTCTTATTTAACTTCATATAATTCACTACCAAAATATCAATAATTATATATAGGTTCTTAAAGATCCATACTCTATTTGTTTCCTTATTTTTCATGACGAGATTCTTATGATTCAATATATTAAAACTGAAGTAATGGATACATATAAGGAATTTGCCAGAATTTTGGTGTAGTCTAATATTGAAATTGTCCAAAAAAATATTGTTGGGGAAAAAAATAATTAATGAATTTAAAATAAGGATTATTTGACTAACTGATTAACCTTTTCCATAGATTATTTCCTTCTTTATAATTGGTATTGGAATATGATTTTTTAATTACTAAGAAAAGTAAAATTGAACTCAATTCTAAATGTATTTTTAATCTTTTGAATTGAAATTTTTTGAAACTCTATAGAGCCAGCATTGACAAAGTGTCATTGGGCAATTTTGTGATACCAGCTCTCTCTCTTATATTTTTATGTTTGATATAAACCTTCAATTTCATGCCCTATAGAAATAAAATGTTACAACTTTTCTAATTCAATTAGAGAATCTTTATTAATCCACAAGTGAAAGAAAAGTTTGAAATTATATTTTCTATGCATCCTGAAATAGATTTTGATTTGTGAAATCTGTCATTACTAAAATACACTTTAAATCAACAGTTTTCAAAATTCTCATTTACAAAAGGTGACAAAAACAATAAATAACAATAACTGTTTTAGGTATGTGATGTAGAGAGTGATATAGGATATAATCTATTACCAAGAAGAACACCACCACCTTCCCGTTGTCATGGCAATAATTCTTATACAACAGGCTTTTCTATAAGGTAATTTATATATTTTTCTCTGAAAAAAGTTTCCCAAAAAGGTATATTTTAGGTAACAGTTAAAGTGACATTTCAAAACTTTTTTGGAACTGAGGGTTTCTCCATAAAATTGGGATTTTGGTATGATTCGACAAAGGATAACAGAGTTGCAACCCTTGATATGCTGAAAGATTATTAGTTTAGTGGGCATATCTTGTGTGGCAACAGCTTGTCAAAGATAGCTGAAGCTGGTTTTGAATGGGTTTGGCATAATGATTTCATTAGAATTTCTGAGATGCTGCTTGGTTTATAGGGTTAAAGATATGTTTATTACAACTGAAAATAACTATTACCTCTTTATTCTTGAATTAATATTTAATGACTCATCATTGGGATAAAGAAACTCTCTAATTGAGAGAGAAAATAGTTTTTAAAGCTAGCATGTATAAATCATAGTTTGTTGTGAAAGGTTCTGTTGTAGAGTCATTAGTTCAATGTCAATTAAACATGTACCATAACCCAGTCTGGCCAACCTGTTTTCAGTAACAACTGATCTAAAAAAAGACTAAAAGAGTAATATTGATTTTACAATCACTGCTTTCATTTTCCCCTAACATTACTGTATCTCTTAACGTACAGATATCTGATATCCTGAAATGCACAAAATGGTTCATCAGGTGTTGCTTATAGCTATATAATTGCAGATTATCTGTCAGCATGAGGAACAACTAAGTACTCTTAGAGTGCACTGTCTAACAACAATGTATTACGAAATAGGTCATATATATTTCATTGAGAACTCAACTTATGTTTTGAGGATAAATTGCATTATCAGGATTAATTCTGAAACACAAATTTGTCCAGTTGTAGGAAATTAAAATGAAAATTAAAAATTGTGCATTAATCAGATTTTTACAACAAAACATTTATACAAGATCTGCAAGTAATTGGATTAAATATCTAACTATGAATATCCTGATAAGAGAACAAGGTTCTAACAATAGCTAATTATGGTTTTCTCTATTTCTGTCATTAGTAAGTTGGTAGTTTGCCTTTAAATAAACATCGACTTTGTTCTAAATTTGGAAAATGACTTAATTGCATCAAGGTTGCTAATGTTAACTGATGTAACAGTGAGCTATATTGGTTTGAAAACCGTAGGAGTTGACACTAACTTGTACAAATTAGATGGAAATTACATGTTACATTTTTAACTTGAATTAACATTGACTGTTTAATACTAATTTAAATATTTCACTAATTTTCTGGCCAGATATTAGTCATGAATATCTTCAAGTTTAATTCAACTGCTATTTTTGGAATATGACTAGGGATTGAAAATTTAACATTGAGTTTTAAATAGCCAAATTATTTTTAAGGTAATGTTTTTTATTGCCTTGTAATATATATTGATAACAAAAATTTAAACAGCTGATTTCATTATGTTTTTGTTTAATCCATGAACTGAGTAAATTCTTTTTATTCCATAGACTTCTAATTGCATACCAATCATAATATGGCTTTACATTACAAGTCAGGTTCATGACAAATACACCAGAATATTTCAACAAAGTTTTTTTTAAAAATAATATTTTAATATTTTACCAGCCGAGAAGACATTGTGCAATCTCACATAAGTAATAACTAGAGTCATCCATAGTATGTCTGAATGACCAAGCAGTCATTGGTAGTAGTTTATTTTTGTTTTACTCAGAATTGTTCACCATATTATTCAAATTGGTTCTTCTCAATGTGCATATCAGTAGGCCAGTGACATTGTAAGATGAATACAGTATTTTATATTGTAAGTTCCTAACCAATATCTTTTACAAATTGCAACTGACTTGTTTTCATCCAAATATACTAATAAAATATTATTGACAGTTGCAGTTGACAGTGTGTATAAATAATGATAGTTAACAACAAGATATTTTTGGATATTATCAGCTGTATATATATACAATATCAGCTTGTGACATATAGACAGTTAATAATTTACTTGACTGTTTATTTTTCTTACTAATATAGGATTTGATTTGCACAATGCATATTCCTTTAGTTGAGAAATCTGTTTTGTATTATGTGAACCACATTGCCTGAACATGAGATTTTCATTTTAACTCAGGTGCCAACCAGTCTTAACCATTCCCTATCTTTGGATTGCAAGAATGATAATTGCTGAAATATATTTATCATGAATTTGGAAATATTTATGGAATGCTGAATTATTTTAAGATTTTGTATAAAAAACATGTTGATAATCCCTGTCCTAAAGGTATATATTCCTCTAAATAGAAGATTAACCTGCAGCCAGCATGCTAAATGTTATGTTAAATTTGTACTGTAGGAATTGTGTCATATCAATAGGTTTCTAAATGGACAAGATAAATTTTTAAATACTCGTACTACCCTTGATCATTGAAATCATTCAACGGTAGACTGACTATAGCTCTAATTCTCTTTTGAAAAGTAACTAAAATTCTATTTATCAGAATGGTAGATTGAAAACTTATATGATAATATCCTTTTACTTTACTTTTACTTTTACTTTTACAATACAATACAATACAATACAATACAATACAATACAATACAATACAATACAATACAATACAATACAATACAATACAATACAATACAATACAATACAATACAATTAAATACGTTTGAAATACGTTTGAAATACGTTTGAAATACGTTTGAAATACGTTTTAATTATGTTTTAAATATGTTTTAATTACCTTTTCAAATACGTTTTATTCAATACTTTAAGGCTATATCTATTGTACACAAAAACATCATTTTATATGAATAAGAAGACATTTCAAATAATATAGTTGCTATCAAAATAAAATCAATATATTCGAAAAAATTCAAATCTGACAAAAGTTGAGCAAGTCATTATTTACAATTTATACAATTATATCCCTTTACATTACTTAATCCTGGATGTTTAATTAGGTATGACTATTATCCTTAATTCACTTTCATATAATGGTAGAAAAATCCAAAATTCCTGATATCAATCTGTACTATGTAGAATATTGGTTAATTTAAGTAATTTGAATCTGGTATTCCTTTATTTTAATAACCATCCTGAACATTTAACATAAAAAAAATCTTTAAAACTGTTTTTGGCTGTGTATATCAAAATCTGCTTCTTTTTAACCTATCAATGTCCAGTATAGAAATAATTCAATGGAATCGTTTTATCGGTATTTATCTTTAAAAACATAAAAATTCTGCATGCTGATCAATAATTGTAATGGATGCATCGAGTTACAGTGAAAAAGTAGAAAGTTTGTGAAATAGAAGCTATGAGTGAATGAAGAAATAGTTATTATATAAATTCCTGTAGTAATATTAGAAGTCTGCTAGGTGATTGAAGGGTAAATTGACTCACGAGGAGAAAATCTCCAGTTAGAAATAGCAGACGTGTTCAACATTTGTACATCATAAGATTACCTTGTGTTTTCATGTAATACAGGATAGACAATCTTGTTGCTTTTCATTATATTCTATTAAATATATCAACAATCAGGTAGGCTAATCTAAGTTTATATATATTTCTTTATTTTCTCAATGGATTTAAGTCCAAACTCCGTCCGTTTGTTTTAGAACGGAGGTTGTACAGCCATTTTACAACTATTCTATTTTTGGCATAAAATATCAACACTTTAGGTACATTGAGATTTAATTTATGAAATGAAATGAGTTGTATACATCCGGCTGTTATACAATGTATTTTGATATTAAAGAGGGCATGTGTTCAATAAACAGCTTTTTTTAAAAGTTTACCAGCACTTATTCACCTTGTCTTTTTCAATGTCAATATTTAAAATGCAGTGCTGGTTATTTTAGTAGGGTAGTCTTGTCTCTTCTTACTTCAGTAAATAGGCCTTTACTTTCTTATCAGACATTTGGGCCTATATTCTTCAAATGTGGCAAATTGGATTGAAAAATCTTGAATCATTTTACTTCTTGTTTGTTCAGTTGGCATATAGGGGGGCATTAGACAAAAAGGTTTGTACCCCAAAATGTGTTTCCACTTTTATAAAAAATTTTGAAACATAGTTTGGAGCAAAAAGCTATATAAATGATTTGTCAGAATTTTATCCAATTTTTCCTTGGAAAGAACTCTCATGAAGTCTATACCCTATTTGTACCCAAAATCTCAAACTGTGTTTGTTTCAAATTTCTGAAAGTCTGTTGAACTATATAAAGCAGTAAGCCTCTGTGTGACTCCAATTTAATGCTCAAGGTGTATTTGATGTTTAAAGGTGAACATTTTTTTTTCAAAACAATTTTGGCAGAAAAGCAAGCAAGCCAGCACTATCTTGTTTATAGATTCCACTGTTTTGTTTTTATGCAATTTACTGATAAGAAATTGAACAAAAGCCTGCATTATTGAAAGATGTAATCTGAATGTTTCTGTTACGTCATAAGAAATAAATCTTATGTTTTATTTATGCATTCTAAACAAATATTATGTTTGATTGTTTTGCATTGTATTGTTTGAATATGAAACTATGCAGATAGTTCAGAGATACAAAAATATTTTTGTGCTTAAAATATCAAGAATGACGTCAGGGTATTCATGGGCTGGATTATGTCCTTAAACAAGGTTAATTACACATATATATGTAGTTGGTATGTCACGAACTATGAATCGTGAACATGCATATGTTTACACCTGCAGAAAAAGAGTCTTTAAAACATTGTAGACATTGATTCCAACTATAGAAGTAGCCTACCAAGGCATGAATCTCAGCTCCCCTTTTTAGACGCATTTTAGCATTTTGAATCTCTCATGTAGCCTTTTGGTCATTATCATTTTAGGGACTCATATTGATTATTAAATAAGGCACTGATCTAAAAAATAAAATGCATTATAAAGACACTGAAACACCAATATTTAAACTTTCATTCTTAACATCCTGTACATCCAAAAGGAATATACCCTACTGTTTAGCCAGGAAGATATGCACGGTACTTGAGGATGACGAATTAAAGGAAGAACGATTGCAAGAACTCGAAGCACAAAAATATCCACAAGGTCTGATTAAAAGGGGGATTGAAATTGCTTAATAAATACTGATAGTAGAAGTACGGACAACACATGAAAGATCTAGCGAAAATGATAAGATGGCGTTTGTTGTCAAACACATCCTGGTAACCAGAATATATTTTCAGTAGCGAGGAGAAATTGAGCAATTCTTGGGCAAGATTTAAAATTAAGCGAACATTTAGATCTCTGCGGGAGAGGACTTTTTAAAATTTTCCCGTTCTATAAAGTATCAAGAATGTGTTTATAAAGTATTTTTCCTTTATGGATCTCTTTAAATTAAATTAAAACCAAAGTTTAATGCGCACTAGATTTAAAATAATGGTTTGCCGTATTTTTCTATAGAACATGTTTCCCACTTTTTGTAATTTGACTTAATGATGTTACGTTAGTGTTTATTGACCTTACGTCTCATAGTTACAATAATTCACCCTACACCTAAAGATTGTTGTAAAAACATGAAAGTACTTGTGAATTTTAAATAATATATGCATTATCTAGCAATATTTGACTTTTTTATGCCAACATTGTAGTTAATAAAGTTTTGTATCATAACATATTTCTCTAAGAAAACAATAGTCTTAACTACAAGTGCAGGGTATAATCAATCATGTCACGATACACCAGCATCTCGTTACAAGGGTTACAAAACAATACATATCTTAAACCAACTTTGTGGCATGCTAGCACGACTAACTACAATGTTGGCTTATATGTAGTTGTCTGGCAACTTTCTTTATGAAAGCCTGAACAAATAATTATACTTTCAAACAAAAGCAATGATTGCTTGAACTGTTTACTGAAATTGGATACTTTGAAATAGGAATTGTTTTAGTTACTAAATCGGTCATGTATATTATTACAATAGTGTTAAGTGAGTAGTTTAAATATTGAAGCCAAGAAAAATAATTTTTGGTGTAGGAATTTCAATCTATTATCTATTTGGATGTTGATATTGACCTGACGTATAGACCTGAAATGTCATTTGTCTTATGGTTGTTCTTTACCAGGAACTGTGTTTGATAAGCAACTTTCAAAATGTCATGCATAGCTCAAACTGGCACATATCATATGTCATGCACTTCTGTGACTTGTAGATAGGTTGGACAGCAATACACAGTCAAAACATCTGGAAATTGCAATTTTGATGCTTGACATATGCCTATAGCAAATGTCCTGTACACAAAATGATAAGAGCTAATCAGCTGGTAAAATTTGGATGACAAATTGAAACCTGAGACATTATGAGTCGGCCTACAGATCAAGCCATTGGTGCCATTTGATATCTGGAATATAATAGCAATGTCATTATATCTGCCAAAATTAGTCTGCTCTGATAAAAGAAATTTGTGTGCCTGATGTCTGCTGATAGACAGCTATTTTCAGGATAATGATTATGCAATTCCAAAACAATCTACACTTAATGATACTAGTTCTATGAATTAATGATCCTTATTCATATAAGATGCAAACAAATAATTCAATTATTTTAATCAAATTTTCAATCATATTCCTTCAGACCTGTCCTCACCACTAATTGATTAATGTTACCTCCTACAGTAGAGACTGGATAAGAAGGATGA